GGAGAAAATTGTTTGCAATTCCCAGGTTTTTGTTTTGTTTTGTTTTTCAAACAGCTCAGACAAGTACTAGTGGGGCTGATAGGAGCAGACACCTCTCTAGTACTGTCGGAGAGGCTCTATCTATCGATGGGGAGCGTCACCTGCTGCTAGGAACCGGGTCCAGCATCCCTTTTAACAGAGAAAAAAATTCTGTAATTTTATATCCGGCACCCAGATCCCCCTATACATCATTAGGCCTGCCAGCATTAGTTGCTCCATTTCAAGGGGATTTACCACACAGGGTTAGTGCTAGATATCTTGAAATGGAGTACGCTTTGGGTCCAAATTCGGGCGTTGAGATAGCTCAACGCTGCTAGTGGGACTTGGCCCCGGGGTTACATGCGCGCCCCACCCTCTGCTTTCCAGCGGGGAGTTAATGCACTTTTAATAATGAGCAGAGAGATGTGTGAGCACTCCTGCCACTCAGAGTTGCAGAGACGTCGACGGCCTTGCCGGCTCTCAACACCGGCAATAATGGTCCCCCAATGGTCCCAACACAAACAACCATGACGGGCGATTTTTTCATGTGCTACGGTTGGTTGTCGTGGGACCTTGGGTGCATTGTTCGCCCCGTACTGATAGGCACTTCTATCCCCCCACCCCCCACCCTGCCTGAGAACTCTTTCAAATTGATGGGCAATTCTCGGACCTCAACACCCAGCTGCTCATGCATGGTGAATGGAGAAGTCGTGGAACGTGCAGAAAGTGCTGCGTGGGTTCTGGATTTCACCCCGATAGCTACTCCTAAGCTGGGGCAGAGGTCGCATGATTACACGTTCTCATTTCCTCCGGGTTGCTTGTTGAGGATTCCCTGCCTCTCTTTTGGCGTAGATAATCAAATGACCCGAGTCTTCTTGTAGAAAACAAAAAGGGCAAAACATTGCATCTGTACCCAAGTTAAAGACGGGAATACCCGCTATATCCAATCTCAGCGGCCAACTTGCATCTATACCCGGACCCCCGTCCAACTAGACATACCCAGTCCCAAAGCCCTCGGTTTCGCACAACGAAATTATGCCCATGCCATCGAACAGCCTGGCAAATTTGCAGGTGTAACCACAGCCCGGGGCACGGCTTGGATGGCGGACCGCAAAATTCTGCCCATGCCCACCACGAGGACATCGTGACTCAACGGCTGCTGCTGGGTATGAGCATGATTTCAGCCATCCGGTAGTAGCGTATATGAATGATTTGGCTAGTCCACCTCAGTCCCAATATACCCGTAATTTTGCCTGGGTACATCCATAATTTGTGCACTCCTGTAGTGGGGTATAACTGTAATTTTGTCGGTACCAACTTGGGTCCAACTCAGTCCTGTAATTTCACCAGCAGTTTATTTACGTGGGGGACATATACAATTCACCCCTTCCCCCCCAAAACAACACAAGCTACTTGACAGGCCGCATGCCCACCCACATTTCTGCAGACTGAGTGGGGAGTGCTCACACAGACCACCCTATGCTCCTTAAAACTCGACTTGTGGTGAGGGGGAAGAATGAATGTACACGCGAGGGTCTGGTTACGGCAACCATCCGCTGAAACATAACGTCATATGAGTCGAGCATCAGCCATGGTTCTCGCTCCATCCAGTACACAAAACTCCATCCCGGACCTGTATCTGATACTTGTCCATTCGGAATTTGAACAAGGGCATTTTACGTTCACCATAATGTCATCTGTTGGCCGGAATTTCGTCCGTTTACGCCTGCGTCTACGTGATGCTCGCATTCACGAGGGAACGCATAGGAGTCTAAGCACGTTGCTACCAAAACCAGCGCATCGACACTCTACCGCTACACACCCGCACCACCCCAGCTTCAAGATTTCTCGTCTCCTTGTTATCCATCATCTTCGCGCGGGGGCAACGGTGAGATCTTTCTTTTTGTCGTTCAACTTTTAGCGGATGTCTCGCAATATACTGCCGTACCCTCTTTTGCCCAAAACAACGCAACCTCATTACGGCTGCAGCAGACCGGGAACGTGGCGCCTGTATATGTTGATTGTCGGGGTGCGTTCTGTTCGGGGGAAGAAGGTGAGTAGGATGTTCCAAATCAGAAAAAAAACAGCATATTGGTTCTGAGCACCTTGCTACTAGAAAAGGAAAAGAAATAGAAAAAAACTCAGCATCCCGCCATTGTGATCGTCTTCCTTTCCCCTCATCCTTTCCCAGAGCCCATGCTGACCTTTATCTATCAGTATCATTAAAAACTGGCCTCTATCTATCAGTATCATTAAAAACTGGCCTCTATCTATCCGTATCATTAAAAAACTTTTGACGGATGTGTCGTACTCGGAGGACTCCCAGCCTGTCTTTGGCCACACGCACAGTGGTATGGGCGAGCGACCAAGACTCGCCGTATCGGCACAATCCCATGGCTAGTACTACTAGGTAGAGTCACAAGCAGAGGGCAGCGCGTGCCATTCTGCAGAACAGCCTGACCCGGAGTTGCCTGAACCATTCTCGTGACAGATTACCATCCTGTGACTGCCGGACCTCACAACCCTCGATTGCCCACACCTAAAAACACAAAGGCACCTAAGGCCTCGACGGTAGACTCTCTCATCACGGAGGACGACTACATCACAAAGCCTCCTGCTGTGTAGCGGGCCGGGGGGATTAGAGCTGAAACACCCCCCCAACATCGGGGCATGATTTCGGAGAAATTATAGTAGGTCTCGCGTTATTTCGGCCCCTGCAAATAAGGTTTTCAGGGATGCTTTTTTCCGTTCTCAATTCACACATTGCACAACATCTGAAGGGACGTTCAAGATGTTTTTCAAAGTTGCGGAGAAATTCTCCCAGGCGGCGTACAGAACACCTGCTAGAGAGCACTCGTCAAAACTTGTGACCCTTCCACCGTTCTGTTTTCATTTTCTATTTCTTTGTTTCCTCTTCTTTCAGACGGAGGTGTGAGTGGAGCTGCCAAAGAGTAGTAGACGGGATGCCGAGGGGAAGAAGAATCGAACTCCATAGCTTTCCAGGATAACAGATCTGTATTTTCATTTTCTATTTCTTCGTTTCCTCATCCTCGAGCAGGGACAAGCTGCAGAGGTGGCTTACGTTCAGAGTGGAACCTACTACAGATCTTCCGGTTTGGGGGGAGGAGGGGGGGGGGGGGGTTGGTTGTACGGCAAGGAGGCAGGTGAATTCTCCTGTACCTATACCGGATTACACAAAAGAGGGCTAGGTTGAATGGCATACACAGATGAAACAGACATCGTAGACAGCCATGCGCTGTTTAAGATAAGGACGGAGAAGAGTAGACAACGGGATGACATATTGTCTTCTACGACATGAGACATAAAATTCCAGAGGGTAATACCTCTACCGCCTTCAGAGGGTTTGATCAAGTGAATATCTCTTCTGATCAGTCTAATAATGTCTGATCCTTGCTCCATCCTGCCACACTGATACTAGAATCGGTTTTTCTGGGCTACGAAGGGGTCGGAACGGCCAGCATGCTTGAAATGATTCCAAAAGGGTGGCGAGGCAGTTGTGAGAATTCAACAGGAAGACACAATTCAGGATGAGAACAGAGGAGATAGCGGCAGAGAGTACGCAGACTATGACAGCTGAAGAAAACGTCGCACGACAGTACTAATGGGTCTGGCTGAGGAAACAAGCAAACCCGATGGTAGAAGAAGGATACCAGTGATCAGGAGTACGAGCACCGTTCATTACAGTACTTCAGGCCCAATCAAAATCCGAATGCTGAGGCTCAGCAAGTCGGGAAAGATTGTGTGTGATAGACTCGTTCCGGCGGTTCGGAGGCAACGACGCTATGGCACTCTTGACAAAAAACATGCCCATTATAGACACAAATGTAAGTGGATCTCCAGAGATTGTAGTATCGTCCTCAAAGGACCCCATCTATGCATGCCCTGTCGCTATCAAGGTGCACAATGCGGAAACGCAGAACAGTGCACCGCGATCTTAGTGACACAGACAGTAACCTCTCTGAACCCTATTCACGATTACGCATTTTGACAGAAGGATGGGCACATTATCGATGCCGCGGTTAGACGCCGTATGCACACCATAGTAGCAAGCATGCAAGCATGCGTCACTGGCAAAAAGCCCGCAATGATTCTGAAGACCTTATCGAAAACTACCTAGGGACTCGAGATCGAGAGTTGACCTGTTCCTCGCTTAAAGAACGTTGGACTCGAGATCGAGATTTGAAGTCCTGTTCCTAGCTCAGAGATCGTTGTACCTCGATGTGAGAATGCTGTCCCCTTTACTCAAAAGGGCATCACAGGCAGGTTCAGCCCTCGTCTCTACGGTCATATGCTTTATCCTATATATTGTCACACTGTAAATCAGAGCGCGAAGGCGGAAAAAAGCAAAACAAGGAAAAGAAGGAATGTAGACATGATACCTTGCCCCCTATATTTTTCTTTGTACAACAAAACTCCTTTTTCTGAAACTCCTTTCCATTATTTCTCTCTCTCTCTCTCTCGTCCTCAATTTTCTAAACAAGTGCGACGGCCTCGAACTATTCTTCTTTCTTCCCTTTTTAAACGACCGCGACATCCTCGAGATATCATCATCGACCTGACCGGCAGCAGGTTCTTCAGAATTGTCGAATTTTAGTCTTCTGCTTACAAATGAATTCCAACTCGGATGTGTATTTCAACAGGTCGGGAGTGCCGTACCCACTAACGCCAGGATAGTTGGTGAACAAGTTTTCACGCCGTTTCGAAAGGATTGTTTCTTGCCGTGCCAGCAGGTCACGGTAACGTCACGCCCCACATACTCCATACCTTCAACACCAACCTTGCCATCTAACACTTTTTGTCTACACCTCTTCTCCCTCTCTACATCCATCTCCATCGCCTTGGCCACGCTTATCGAACGGGCACAATGCCGCATACACATGAAAGTGCACGAGCTGATTACCCCCGTCTACTACATCTACGTACATTGATCGACCCAAGACTATCATTCCAGCGAATCTTCAGTGGCATTGCTCGATTCATTACCTCAAACCTAATTACGTTCTTACTTAGAAAAAAAAAGGCTTATGACCAAAATCGCAAACATTGGGTCCTGTTTCTTGATGTGTTGGCACGCGTCCATGATCTAAATAACGGCATAGGTACCAAACAGTCCGGATAGTGGACGTTTTCTTACAATGCACACGCTCTCTCTCTCTCTCTCTAAATAACGGCATAGGTACCAAACAGTCCGTATAGTGGACGTTTTCTTACAATGCACACGCTCTCTCTCTCTCTCTCTCTCACTCACACAAGCACACAGGTTCGTGGAATGCACACGCTCTCATTCCCTCTCTCTCTCTCTCTCTCTCACACACGCGCACAAAGGTTCGTGGATCTTGACCACGCTACAGTAGGATCCCTAGAAATAAACCGACGATTCCTTCACCTCTCGGCCCGCCAGCAACCCCCATCTGTTGTTCACTGCCCTCCAGACACACCTGCAAACCCTGTGCGGCGGACCGCTTTCGTCATCTGCGACCGCATTATGTTTGCTGAATGTGTTCCCTCGCAAACACATTCAAATATGTGCTGAATATGTTCCCTCGCAAACACATTGAGATGAAAACGACCTCGCAAACACATCACCCAGTCTACCATTTCCCGACACTCTTTACTCCATCCATCATACACCGAGCACTGTCCACGAACACGCAGAGTACAATCAGATGAGAGCTTCAGTGCGCCTGCGTTCACCAAGCATTTCAATATCGAAATCCTTTAAAAAAACAACGAGCATAAAAAACGTGAAGTGATGACAACAATGAGAACCAAGTAGGGACACGACACGTCGCACACGGCCAGGGAATTAACAAAAACTCAACCGACATCGTCAAGATTTGGCACCCGTTTAGTCCGAGCAAGCGGCACGCTTAAAAATGCGAACCTCTTTCCATTGATCAGCTCAACAGGAATAATACTCTTCCACTTTACAAAAATCGACTTCCAAAATCCTTCCCCCTCCGGGTGGGTGAAATCCGAGCACTCGACCATGTGACCCGACAGAGACTTGGAGAGAGAAAGAGAAAGACAAGCGAGCGAGAGACACGGGCACAACTCCTCTCGCAAACCCGTTCATCACCGCAAATCCCGTTCCCATCCACGTTCATTATGGCATTTCTCCGCATTTGACTCTCTGGAAAGGGTAACCCAAACCCCAATTCCGGGGTTCAACGAACACAGGCAAAAGCGAGGACACAACTGCTGCTACTAGAAATTTCGCCGCAATTTCTTCCGTCATTTCGCAGTCGCTTACTTCTTCTTGGCATCAGCAGCAGACTTGACCTGCACCAAAAAACAGAAGAACATGTATACAGCCGAATAGTTAGCACCAAAATTGCAGAGAAGCCGGTGGGGGGGGGGGGGGGGGGGGGGGGACGCGTAAAACTATACTGAAGTTT